AGGTTAGATAGACCTCAGCTTTAGGGTAGAAGTTCGGCACAACATCGTGGGCCGAAGGGCCTGTACTGTGCTATACTGTTCTATGTTCTATGTTCGACAGTCTGATAACAGCCGGGAAGAAGCTGTTCCTGAACCTGCTGGTGCATGTGTTCGAGCTTCTGTACCTTCTGCCTGACAGAAGAGGTTGTAGGAGATCATTACCAGAGTGCGGTGGGTCTTTGATGATGTTGGCCGCCTTTCCACAGCAGCGAGCCGTGTAAATAGAGTCAATGGATGGAAGTTTGGCTTCCGTGATTGTCTGGGCTGTGCACTCCCATCTTCTGTAGTTTCTTAAGGTCCTCAGCAGAGCAGTTTCCATACCAGGCCATTATGCACCTAGTATGCTTTCAATGGTGCATCTGTAGAAGTTGGTGAAGGACCTTAACATGCCAAATTTCCTGAGCCTCCTGAGGAAAAAGAGGTGTTGTTGTGCCTTCTTGACTGGCTCATTTGTGTGGGAAGTCCAGGACAGGTCGTCAGTTGCCATCGCTCTGAGGAACTTAATGCTCTTCACCCTCTCAACCTCCGTTCCGTTGCTGTAGAAGGGGATGTGTTCTTCTCTCTTCATTCTGAAGTTGATGATCGGTTCTTTAATTTTGCTGACATTGAGAAACAGATGGTTTTCATTGTACCACGTTACCAAGCCCTCTCTCTTCCTTCTGTATTTTGATACTGTATTGTTAGATATCCGTCCCACTATGGTGGTGTCATCAGTGAACTTGTAGATGGCGTTCATTCAGAATTTTGGTTGCGCAGTCTTCGGTGTACAGGGAATACAGTAGGGGACTGAAGATGCATCCTTGGGGGATTCTGGTGTTGAGTGTTATTGTGGAGAAGGTGCAGATACCTATCTTACTGATTGCGGTCACAAAGCTGAGGATCTATTTGCAGAGGGCAGAGCCGAGACCAGGGTCACAGAATTTTAAGATCAGTCTGGGCGGGATAATGGTGTTGAAGACGGAGCTGTAATCAACGAACAGGAGTCTGATGTAGGTGTCTTTGTTGTCCAGATGTTCCAGGGATGAGTGCGAGGCTAGGGATATGCCATCCACTGTGGATCTGTTATGTCAGTAGGCAAACTGTAGGGGATTGAGGCAGGTAGGGAGACTGGAGTTGATGTGGGCCATGACCAGCCTCTCGAAGCACTTCATGATTATTGAAGTCAGAGCTACTGGGTGGTAGACATTAAGGCAAACTGCATGTGTTTTCTCGGGTACAGGATTGAAGAAGTCGGTGAATACTTCCCCAGTTGATCCGCACGGGATCTGAGTGATCGGCTGGGGACACCGTCTGAGCCCATTGCTTTCCATGGGTTGACTCCCAGGAAGACTGAACTGAATTCTGAAGCGGTGACAGAGGGAAGAGGTGTGTCCGGGGCTATCAGGGCAGTGTGATAAATGTTGTCTACATGGACTTTCGCAATGCCTTTGACAAGGTGCCATGTGGCAGGTTGTTGAGTAAGATTAAATCTCACGGAATCCAGGGCCAGCTAGCCAATTGGATAGAAAATTGGCTTGAAGGTAGGAGATAGTGGTAGAGGGTTATTTCTCAGACTGGAGGCCTGAGACCAGTGGTGTGCCACAAGGATCAGTGCAAGGTCCACTGTTACTCATCATTTATATTAATGATCTGGAAGAGAATTTAGGAGGTATGGTCAGTAAATTTGCAGATTAGATGGTGTTTCATGGTATAGTGCACAGTGAAGGTGGTTATCTGGGAATACAGTGAGATCAACTGGTCCAATGGGCTGAGGAGTGGCAGACGGAGTTTAATTTCGATAAATGCGAGGTGTTTCATTTTGGTGGGTCAAACCAGGGCAGGACTTACTCAGTCAAAGGAAGGGCCCTGGGGAGTGTTAGAGACAGAGGAGTGACCTTATAGAGGTCTATAAACTCATAAGAGGCATAGGAAAGGTCGGTAGCCAACAGCCTTCCCCCCATGGTGGAGGAGTCTAAAACTAGAGGGCGTAGGTTTAAGATGAGAGGAGAGAGATACAAATCGGTCCAAAGAGGCACATTTTGGTCATTCCCTCTTCACCCAGAGCTGAGGTAGCTATTGTCTCGGGGCACAGTTCCTTAGACCTCCTTCAGTACTTGCTGCCCATGTGATCAACTCTGGATAGGTCAGGTCTGCCTTCTCGAGACTCTGTGATTGGTCAGTTGTATCCCCTTAGCAGCTTCATGTTTGACCATCACACTCACCCCTCACATTGAACCAGACCATAATCCCATCTCTGCCAACTTCTCTGTCTCCAAGCAACCAGCCTATGTGGTGCATTTGTTACAAGTTTAACAATAAGTTGGATCGAAGGGTCGTTTCCATACTGTGTATCTCTATGGCTGGAACTAACCTTGTCAATTTAATATTTAATCAGGGTTAGAGCAACATTTAAGAAGTTCTGATCCGATAGGTTCTGTTAACAAGAGCATAATTACACCATGTTTAACCGTGTTACAGGCTTGGAATCTTTATGGCCAGAACTTGGGAGTTAAAGAGCATTTAAACTGCAATTGCAGCCAACCAGCCCAGTGCCAGGCCTTCAAAGTGATTGGATCAGCGGAATTCCGCACTCTTGGTGCAGCATGTTCCACATCAGTGCTCCCTTCTTCCCCCCCACCCCGCCCCAGTTTCCTGGCACTTGTTCCTTTGTCTCCAATCTTTGTTATTTATGTACATAACTTGCCCCTTTACCAGCTGTCCTTCTGCTCATGGGGACAATGCAAACGGGGTTACAGTGTCAAAGATTGAGCAATAATGTGTCTAGGTGGCACACCTTCCGTAGTGGAATAGCAGAGACACGGAGAGGCAGCACTGGGGCATGTGGGGAATGTGAATGTTAGGATCAAGATTCGAGTGTTGGTGTTTCTGGCTAGATGATGGGAACGGACTGCAGAGAAACAGTATTGGTGTGCTGTACTGGGTGTGATCACTTACCGTAACCACTCAGGTGAGGTCATTCAACAAAAACAAAGCTGCTGGAAAAGCTCAGCAGGTCTGGCAACATCTGTGGAGGAGAAAACTGAGTTAACGTTTCGGTCCGGTGACCCTTCCTAAGAACAGAGGTCTGAGGAAGGGTCATTGAGATGAGGTCATTGTTATTTTGCCTACGTTACTGCCATGTCCAAAATGTTGCTGTAGATCTGGAGTCACATTCAGGACCGACCAGGTACAGGCAGCAGATTCCCTTCCCTGAAGAACATGAATGAAGCAGTTGTGTTATTGGCTTTGATGGCATGGTCACTATTACACCAGCTTTTTATTCCAGATTTTTTTGTAAATTGAATTCAGATTTCACCGTCAGCCATTATGGAATTTGAACTCATGTCTCCAGAACATTATCCCAGTTTTGAAGAGTCACGTCAGACTCAAAAAGCATTAACTCTGTTTCTGTCTCCACAGATGCTGCCAGACCTGCTGAGTTTCTCCAACAATTTCTGTGTTTATCTCAGATTTCCAGCATCTGCAGTACTTTGCTTTTAATTTGGATCACTCTTATAAATGCTGGCACAGCCAGTGACACCCATATCCCAGATGTGAATAAACAGTTATATTTCCAGGAACAAGAGGTTACTTTTCTAAAGGAAAGCTTGAGAAGTTAGCGTTCTGTACAGGTGATTCCTATGAGGGGACCAGAATGATATCCTGAAGGTTTTGAAATGTAATGAAAGTGTCATATTTATTGCACTGCCTGTAGGCAGTAAAGACATGACAGGGCAGGCTTGAAGATGCAAATGGAATTTTGACATTTATTGCTAAAGGGATTCAGTATAAAAATAGGGCAGGAGTGTTGCTGCAACTGTGCATGGCATTAGTGAGACTGCACCTGGAGTATTGTGTACAGTTTTGGTTCCCTGACATGAGAAGGGGTGTAGTTGTATTGGAGGCTGTTCAGAGGAAGGTCACTAGACTGATTCCAGAAATGAAAGGTTTGTGTTATGAAGAGAGATTGAGCAGTTTAGGCTGATACTCTCTAGAGTTTAGAGGATTGAGAGGAGATTGAGGTGTATAAGATGCTCAAAGGGTGGTGAATCTGGGGAATTTATTCCCCGGAGTGTGGTGAATGCAGGGATATTGAATAAATTTGAGGAGGAGATAGACTGATTTTAATTAGTAATGGGTTGAAGGGTTTTGGAGTTGAGGTCGAGATGAGATAAGCCATGACTGTATTAAATAATGGACCAACCTGCAGGGGCTACCCAGTCTACCCCTGTTTCTAGCTCAGGCAGGATTGTTGAAGAGATTTTTGCAAAGAGGCAGGACATAGAGTCAGCATCTGCTCCTTGTGGTAACTTCACCAGGCAGTCCTTCCCATTTTTCCATGGGATGGAGGGGGTCTCAGGGTTGCAGGGCAGCAGGATTTTGGAAACAGCAAGATCCCTGGTGGATTATTTTGCTTCCATGTGGGAAGCGGCTGTAAATGCCCAGAGTTCACTGGCTCTGCACAGAGACAGACTTTCTCTTCAAAGCTTCTGCTTTATCCTAGGATGATACTTGTCAGTTGCATGTCCCACTCACCTCAGTGACAGTCGCCAACTGCTCAAGGTGGCTTTATTCTTCCCGTAAACTTTCACAGATGTTTTGTCATTTTTCTAAAAGCCATGAAGAAAACTGTTTTTACACAGTGAGTGGTTGGGATCTGGAATTCGCCACCTGAGTGTGTGAAATGATTGGGGTGTGTAATGATGTGAGTTGATCTTGCTGAAAGCTGGCATGGGCTCAATGGGCTGAATGGCCTCTGTCTTTGCTGTAAAATTTCTCTGAACCCAACCCCTCCAACATAGTCTTGCCAAATGGACAAAGAGTTGCAGAGGAAGGGGAGATTGGCTCTTAAATTAAGCTGTGTAAGATAGATTAAAATATTTTAGTTGACTAATATAAAAAGTTTAACTCGGAGCCTTCCTACAGCTGATAGCTGGCTCCTCCAACTCCGTAAACTAACTGTTCTGTTACTGATTCAACAGGAATCCTGACGGCGTGAACAATTCTTCAGGTGTACAGCGAAATGCAACTGTAACTTTCACTATTCGGCCTGGAACCAGCCAACCCATAACTGTTCAGAACCGGACATCAGACTTTGACAGTATGACCATTTTAAAGCGAGCTCCGAGCCCAGTGGTATCTCCAACAGACACTGGTCAGACCCCCAGACCCTCCTCCTTGCCAGCTGTGTCTCCCTCATCTACTCTTTCCGATGCCTTTGGTTTCCAAAGCCAGCCAATTGCCGGGGAAGGGCATTTTGGAAACCAACCAGGCCGCAGTCGGTCTCCATCTCCTAGCACTTTGCAACAGCCAGTTTCGAACAAACCTTTCGCCTCCAAGGCTGTCCTCCTTTGGACTAAACACGACGTGGCTGACTGGCTGGACACTCTGAACCTCGGAGAGCACAAAGATGCATTTTTGGATAACGAGATAGATGGGACACATTTACCGTCACTTCAGAAGGAAGATTTAATTGATCTGGGCGTGACAAGAGTTGGACATCGAATGAATATAGAACGAGCTTTAAGACAGCTACTGTCGGTTAGATAAACATTTATTTGAATGCTTTACAAAGTAACTAAAAGATCTCTCATTATTTTTGTCAACAGTCTGCATTCACCATAGCTCTGGCTGGAATATAATGTGCGACTGAAATATTTTTAAAAGCTCAGCATGAACATTTGTTCCAATAAAAGCCTCTAGTACATTTATAAGCACAATACGTTGACAGTGTCAGTGGCTCGTCAGTCAAGCAACACCATATGCTACTGATGTGCTGAGAAGATTAGGAAAAAGTGAAGCTCCTTTTGTGATGTAAATATAACAACAGCATAATCTATATTTTGAACGATGACCTTTTAATATTGACCTCACTTGGACATGTCTTAATGATACTGTAGTTGAACCAGCAGAGCTGTGTTATATACTTTCTACCTTTGCTAGTCCAGTATTTCTTCACAAGAATCCCAATCAATGTTCTCGAAGATGTGCAGCAGATCAGCTCACCCTGTTTTACTCTTTTTCCTTTGGACAAGAAGTGACGCTGACTAGAATTTTGTTTCCTTTCTGCTGAGCAGTCTTATCATTTCCAGTATTGTACGTGGGTGAGAAAGAAATATGAAGCTCTTTTAACTATTCACATTTTGACGCACTCTTAATACTCTGTCATGATGGGGCACCGTTGTAGCATTTTGTCCAATTCTCTCCTCGAAAGCTCATACAGATTTGTTTTCGGTATTGCTGTGTCTTTTCCAATGCTGTTGTCAGGAGGTGCTCTTGAGAACAGTGACAAGAGTGTTGAATTGAATCATTATTGTCTTCCATAGAGGCAGATGATTTACCACAATTACTTACTAGAGCAGTCGGGAGTGCTCTGAATGGGCCATGTCTATATTCAGTTTCAGAGCAGGTGGGTTTGCTCATTTGAGCTGTGTAGGAAAACATGTCTTGCTTATTGAATAAAATTTAAAACAAAGTGGGGTTTCTATTTGTCATTTTAGCTGCTATTCTTTTTCACAGCTATATATACATATATATATATATATATATATACGTTTATTCTCTTGAATTGGTTAATGACATGTAACATTAAGGTATTCCAATCGAGGAATGTAGCTGCACAGTAAATTAATTTTTGAACCCACTGTGCCATAATACAAGTGAAGTTAAATCTGAGCGGATTTCTTTGCGAGGCAATGGTTTTAACGGATGTTTTCTGGCCTGGCTTCTTCTTTATGACTGGGCGTTCAAACTGGCGTAAAAGATTAATAATTTCTGTAGAGCAACAGGGACTGAAAATGCATTCTCCCTGCCATATTACATATTCTCTTTTTAGGTCTGCATTTCTGTTACATACTGTAATTAAAATTGACAATCTTAAACACTTAGTTTGTGTAACAATTGTGGAAAAAGTACCAAATCTCAAGTTGTAAATTGTGTAGTAACTTACAGGAACCCCCTGTTTCTGGGAGATTTGAGTGCACCTCAAACTGTTAACTTCAGCAGAAGCAATTAGCTGTGACTTTTGGGGAACAATTTAATTCACAGGTTTTCCTTCTTGCACAGCTCTTGGTATTTATTTGTGGTATTTATCATTTAGCGATTATAGTTAATTCACTGACTCCTCGATAATTGCAGCTGCAGACTATTCCAGTTGATCTGGCAATGATTACATCAATGAGCCGATAATATCATTTTCTTTACAAATAATAGTCACTAACCATTTTATTTTTTATTTTGCTGGTGCATTAAGGTGTATCTCACTTTAATTTATGTAAAAGATTTGTGTTCAGATTTTCAATGTTGCTGTAATTTCTGTGATTTGTAATATCTTCATCTAGATTCCATTTACAAGCTCCTGTAACTTGCACTTTCCCAACTCCTCAATAACTTGTATGGCAACCAAATTATTAAACAAGAAATAAACATTATAACAGCAAATAAAACTTGTGTTACTGACTGTAGAGGATGTGCCCATTGACCCAATCCACAGTTCCCTCTTGTTGTTTGATGTTGGTTTTAGTCCCAATAACTAGAAATTAAATTTAGTTTCTATTTTGTTTCAACTGCTACAAAAGAGCTTTGTTCATTTTGAACCTCTTCCCAAATTCTCAGTTTCAGTCTCCTGAATAATAGGAACAAAAATTTTCAATCATTCTTCTGATGCTCTCATCCCTGAAATAACTTGCTCTCCCCTTCTCTCGATTTCTCACCCCATAATTTTCTCTTTCTACTTCCCCTTCTCTCTCTGTGTCTTGCCCCTTCTGTCTTTATCTCCTCTCTCTCTTTCTCTCTCGCCCGTTCTCTTTCATCCTTTCTGCCTCTCTTGCCTGCTGTTTTCTGCCTCTGTCTTGCCCCTTCTCTCTCTCTGTTGCCCTTCCCTCTTGCCTGCTGTTTCTTGCCTCTCTCTTGCCCCTTCTCCCTCACATCTTTTTCCCCCTTGCCACTCCCTATCTCTTCACCATTATCCCTGCCTGTCTTATTGCTTCCTCTTTCCCTCACTCCTTACCAACCCTCCCCTTCTTCCCACAGTGTCACTCATTCTTGTGCACTCTCCTCCAAGTTCCATCTCCTTGGTCCCTCCTCCTCACTTGCTCCTATCCCTCTTTTCCTTCTCACTCCTGCTTTTACCACTCTTTATTCTCCACCTGTGTTTTTCTCTCTCTGTCTCTCATTCCTTCTGTCTGTCTCATCTCTAGTCTTTACCATCTCTCCTCCTGCAGGGGAAATCCGGATGGGCCAGTAATGCTATCCCACCAGTGACGCCCACATCCCATGTAGGAATTTAGAGAGATGGTGGCACACTAGCATTGCCACTTGGCTAGTAATCCAAAACCCCAAGCTAATGTTCTAAACGTATGAGTTCAAAGCCTACCATGGCAGATTGTAAAATGTGAATTTGATAATATTTCTGTAATTAATAGCTAGTGTAATAGTGACCATGTAACCATTGCTGATTGTCATTTCTTCACTAATATCCTTTAAGGAAGCAAATCTGCCATCCCTACCTAGTCTGGCCTATGTGTGATTCCAGACCCACAGCAATGTGATTGACTCTTAGCTTCACTCTGAGCAATTAGCAATGGCCAATAAATGTTGGCCTTGCCAATGATGCCAACATCCCATGAATATATTAATAAAAGATTTAAAAAACTGCTGAACACTCTCTATTCTCCAGAGAGACTGGTCCATGTCACTGTTCTTAATGAAAAGCACATTGGGGAAATATTCTCCGGGAGAGACAATGACCTCACCTTGACCTGTATACCCCACACAATTCTGGGAGAAGGCATTAGTTTGAGGGTTGCAATTTTTTTGTTCTTGAGAAAGGTTGTGTAATTACGTCCAGTATACAGGTATGTAATTTTCTGAATGTAAATAAAACGTGAAGCAAAATAGCATTGGCCTGCAATAGAAAGCTGCTGAAGGCAGTGAGGAGGGTCCAGAATAGGTAGTGAGCAATGACATACCAAGGACGCTTCCAGCTGTGGTATGCTGCTGGTTTTCTACAGAGAGCTCATCCCTCTCTTCAAAACATTGCACAGCTTCAGCCTCAGAAGCAACTTGCATCTGCTTTGAGTGAAGTTATACTTTCCTCTAATGTCTCCTTGTATAACTACATGTTATTAAAAACACCTTAATGCAATGAGTTGCTGACAACTGCCTGGGAGTGTTTTATGTGACACTGGGTCACATGAGATTTCAAGGGAAAGCTCCATCAAATGAATAAGAAGAGTGAAGCTTGAGGTAAGATGGAGGTAGAGAGGGTATGGGAGAGAATTCCAAATTATGTGGCCTCTGACAGAGCAGTCATTAGATCTGCAGATGTTCTAGAGGACAGATTTAAAGGAGCACAGAAACACCAGCAGGGTTTGTGGGTTGAAATAGATTCTAGAGAGAGGCTATGGAGGAGTTTGAAATGTGGGATTGTGTTCAATAATGACTGAGATCAGTGAGCGGTGAAAATAACCTCTTTATTGAACTTTGGCACTGGCACAGTTCGAGGCAGTGATGGAATCCAAAGTACGGTATTACAGTAGCCTCTTTTATACACAGTTTTTACATACATTAAAATCTGAGTGTTATGGTGTCACATAGTTGTACCTGTTGTACACAAGTTTGCATCACATCTGTCCTGGGGATGCAGGAGATGGTTTAAGTACTTGCTAAAAGCTGGCTGTTGCTCCTGATGGGATTAGAATTTTTGTCCAGTCTGAGCTTGTATAATTAAGAGGCGTTAGTTCTTTTGTCTTTAAAGTTAGTAATGTTAGTAAAAATACTAGACCTATATGATCTAAATAAGTGAGAAATGATATGTGTAACTAACTAAAAGTATAGAGGATATGAAACTGATCTCCCGCTGCTGGGTCATGAGATTTCATTTACTATCACCAGTTTTGACAGTTCCTACACATTCATTCACACAGTTTCGATAATAAGTTTCTTAGAGGGGTAGCAGCCCTATTTAATATCTTTGGACTGTGGGAGGAAACTGGAGCACCCAGAGGAAACCCACGCAGACACGGGGAGAATGTGCAAACTCCACACAGACAGTCGCCCGAGGCTGGAATTGAACCTGGGTTCCTGGTGCTGTGAGGCAGTAGTGCTAACCACTGAGCCACCATGCACAGTACTGCCTTCTCTCAAACCAAAGTAAAAAATGACACAGCCCTGTTTGAAGGCAGGGATCTTCTGTTCTATTTCCTGGTATTTATGCCTAAAACCAGTTAGAAATAGGTAGTACAGTGTTGTAGAAATAGGTAGTGTTTAAGGAGATCTCAAAGAGATAAAAAGCAGCAGACTGGTTAGGAAACTGATGTCCTGCAGCCTATTCAGGTCCTGAGGGACAGTTACTAAGGACTAATTAATATTATAATCTTTCCATAGTTTTGAGTGAGTTATGGAGACAGGACGGCAGGGATGGCATTGTTCTGAGTAGGTTACAGTATTGAAACTTATTCAGGGGAAGCCTTTCTTACAGAAACAGGACTAAACACTGCTTGCTGCATGGGGCTGATAAGAATTGAGAGGTATAAAGAAACAGTAATGGGTTGGCAGCCTAGGAAGGGATGTTTAATTTAGTTTATCTTGTAAGAGTAAAATATACCACAGAAACGCAGTTTTATGAATGAATGAATGGAAATGCAGTATAGCAAACATAGAGCACTTGTGAGTGAGTTAGTAAAGAGAATCATAATACAATATCTCACAAAAGACAAGAATGAGAATGGTAATTTGAGGTGTTGCTTAGACAGGAGTTAGTATAATCAAGTGAACGTGAAAATGATTGGCACCAGATATATGGGAACACCACCATCTGTAAGTTCCCCCCCAAACCACTCACCATTGTGACTTGGAAATATATAACCATTCCTTTAGTGTCGCTGCAAAATCCTGCAATTCCCTCCCTAATGGCATTATGGGTCTACCTACAGCACATGGACTACAGAGGTTGATGAAGGCAGCTCATCCCCACCTTCTCAAGGCCAACCAAGTGTAGGCAATAAATGTGACATTGCATGAACATTTTTTTTTTGCAAAAGCTGTGAATTGGTCGAAGTGAGGATACGAGCAACAGAGTTTTATATGATGTGAAGTGTATGGAGTGTAGGAGAATGTGAGGATCCAGCCAGGAGTGGGTGGAATAATCTAACATAGAGATAGCACAGACATAAGAAAATTCTAACCGCACTTAGTGAGAACTGCACCTGGGGCAGAATCCGTCAAATGTTTTGAAGAGAGAGAGTGAGCTTGATGTAGAAAGCTAGCGGTATAAATTTCTGATTGCCTGGCTCCAGTCCAGATTTCAATGTTCCAGAGTTGATTGTTGTGATGGTGCAGGTATGTGACCATCCTCAGATCAAATCTTTGGATAGCAAGATGGCCAACAGTCTGGAGTAGCCTCGGATGGTTGCCGGGAAGAGGAATTATTTCTGAGGCAGAGGAATGGAGTTTAGGTAGGGATCAAAGATAATTAATGGTCTCTCATTACCAATTTTACCACTACAATGGAAACAGTCCCTCACAACCTACCTTATCGTGAGATCTATTATCTTGAATGATCTTGGCACATGTTTTGATTATGAAAAGGTTGTAACATTGTAAATGCTAAAACAAAGGCTAGCACCAATGCAGATATGATGGACTGAATAGCATCTTTCTGCACCATAACAGTTCTGTGATTCTGTTCTCAACACGAGGAAAGCTCGTTGCTTTATCATTTCAACCATGGCTTGTTGGTAGCACATTCCCCTCTGGCTCAGGATGATGTGTGTTCACATCCCACTATGATGATTCAGTGCAACATTGAGGGAGTGCTGCCCTGTCAGGAGTGCAAGAATCCAGAGGAGTTGCTAACCCACAGTACTGCCTTCTCTCTCAAACCTAAGTAAAAAATGACATGAGATACCAAGGTGTAGAGCTGGATGAACACAGCAGGCCAAGCAGCATCAGAGGAGCAGGAAGGCTAACGTTTCGGGCCTAGACCCTTCTTCAGAAATGGGGGAGGGGAAGGGGGTTCTGAAATAAATAGGGAGAGAGGGGGAGGCGGATAGAAGATGGATAGAGGAGAAGATAGGTGGAGAGGAGACAGACAGGTCAAAGAGGTGGGGATGGAACCAGTAAAGGTGAGTGTAGGTGGGGAGTTAGGGAGGAGATAGGTTAGTCCAGGGAGGATGGACAGGTCAAGGGGGCAGGATGAGGTTAGTCGGTAGGAGATTGGGTTGGCGCTTGAGGTGGGAGGAGGGGATAGGTGGGAGGAAGGACAGGTTAGGGAGGCGGGGACGAGCTCGGCTGGTTTTGTGGTGCGGTAGCGGGAGGGGAGATTTTGAAGCTTGTGAAGTCCACATTGATACCATTGGGCTGCAGGGTTCCCAAGCCGAATATGAGTTGCTGTTCCTGCAACCTTCGGGTGGCATCGTTGTGGCACTG